TGCAGTACTAATACTTCATTGATATTTACACTTAGAAGAGTTAACTTGACAAGGCAGTCCATGGGTTACAATTACTGTACTTTGTCAAGAGTTTAGTGAAGAAACCACAATGAGAGATGACCTGTACTGTACCTAACCTGACTTGTGTCTGTTGCAGCAAGAGTCAGGTCACCAGAAGAACTCTTGTGGTGGTCATTTCCTCCATCTTCAAGTCATCATCCTAGAATGAATAATCATTACAACTCTGTTCTAATAAAAATTAAATGGTATACCTACAGTACACTGCCTATACAGTACAGTACATGCTATATCAATGTAGGTATCCCCCAATATACAGTACAGTACATATGCCTGATAAACAATAGTTTCAACAAATGTCTAAACTACAGAAGCAAACAATAAATCCAACTTTAACCATTTTTATCTACATATATGAACGTATATATTTTCCTTCACGGGAACACAACGCCAATAATATATATAAATTACTTCCGCTTAATGAAAGCATTTCTAGGAACAAAATTTTAGTATATTAAGGGACACCTGTGAACTACTATAATGAATAAATGAAGCATTACACAGCACAACTAGAGTGCCAGATATAAAAGTGAAGAAAAATGCTGCAAAGTTACAACCTTACTTTTACCATAGCTCTAACTAATACAGTAATGATATCACCGATATTCTGACAAATAAACTGATACAGTGTACAGTATTATGTAGTCGTCATCCCTCTGATTATACTGTTAACTGCCCCCTACAATGTTTTATAGAACTTTACAGTACTAGAACATTGAGCAAGGTATATTCTAGTCAATATATTTTACATTCAAGAGCTGTTGGTAAGATTAAGGCATAGTAACACTTTCTCCATCAATTTCTTGTAAGAATGCTGCAACATTAAAAAACAAAAGTAACTCAAAATAATAAAAAACAAGTTAGAATTTTAAGAAACTAAGATTTACAATTATGAGTCAGACTAATCCAAAGGCTGTCATCCCAGAACATTAATTTACAATTCTTTACAACTACATAAAGTTCCTTGTAAAGTTTAATAAATGTCGATTAATAAGTTTTAAATTCCACCATTTATAACAGAGGTAATCCACATTCTTCACTAGGTATAAACAAGTACTATAGTAATCCCATGCTAACCTGACCTATAAGCCACGCCCCTCATACTAATAGATTGGTTCCCGAGCATTTTACCTCCCCGGACTGTGTAAACAAGCCAGTATTTATGTCGACCTTTTATAATAAATATTTACAACTTTCTTACATCCTCTCAAGAGTTAATGCCTTTAAATCATTCACATTTTGATAGTCCAGATATTTAAAATTTTCAGATAATGACCAGGTCTGCCTACCAATTGTGAACACTGAATTTTCTATGAACCAATCAACTATTCATATAGAAGAGCGGCAGGGCCTCTGGGCCAGTTTGGCATGAAGAGAGTATAGTTACCTGTATTAACTGAACTGGGAACAACATATTGTACTAACAGACCACTATAGATGCAGGCAAGTCAATAACGCCAAGGTTGACGGCAGTTATATGTGTAACTTAAGAGGGCTCCAGTTACCATACAGGACCTTAGAGCCAGCCAGGTGAAGGTACTACTTGCAGAAGGATTGTTAATATAAATGGCAAATTAAACTTGGATGTTGGATGTATTTATAGATCACAGAACTGCAGTTTATCAAGCCAAGCCTAGCCAGTTTACAGGCATTAAAACACAACAGCATTACGGATGACTGACTGGAGGAATGAAATTACACTGACAAACAGGAATGTAGACATTATGCTGAATAAAGCCAGTGAAGTAAACTAGTTGACTGATAAAATATACTGTATACTCCAGATCAAACCCACTGACTGAAGAAATACAGAGACCATTCAGACTGTAGAGAGACTGAGCAAGTTTGCCAGTCTGATTCCAAAAGAGATCAAGTCAAAGTCCCAAAAACTTATAACATGTGGGCACATCAGACCCAAGACAAGATAGTATTTACTCAAACTCCGGTCAGGGGTAGACCAGTGTTTCAAATGATACAAACCTCCACGTGTTTGAGTAGTAACAACACTGACATGTTCTCGGTCAAGTATTAAAACAAATTATCAAAACCAAAGGTACATAGAGCCCCGATGTGGAGCTTCCTGATCTCATTAAATCTTAGTATAGATGCATAAACTAGCAAAACGTCCCCCAATGACTAGAAAATAGCATTTGTAAGTCATCAATGGGCGACTCAATACAAGTTTATAAACCTGTTTTAGGGCATTACTTCGTCTGGTGTTCATAACTAGCAGATGTCCGCCCCACTTGATCACAACTTAAGGTTGATGCCACAAGTCCAGAAATCTTGTGGCAATTTTTTTGGTACAAGTTATGAACTGTACTACAATCTGTTGTGATGGCACCGAGTGTTAGCTCTTTGGTGACTACAGTACAGTATTTGCCAACAGTGTGACAACAGTACATGCCCAGTACTTGTCAACTGATGTAACAGCCAGTACTAGCCATTGTGTCCAGACGCGACAGACCACCCCATGACCCCAGTTGAAAAGTTATTGAAGCAGACTTTACGTTTCACTATAGAACAAAAGTTCATTTTTCGTGAACTATCCATCACCTTTTTACGAAATTTTTTCTCTTGCCATTTAATAGATCACATCGAGAAACTAAAGACACTTGAATTTAGCGGAGCATTACCCCAAAATAAATGCAATATTCGCGATTTATTTATTGTTATAATCACGAATATTTCGAAGTCCCAATTTGATGTTAATTAAGGCAACACGCACCATCACTCATTGGTAAAATACTAAAGATAACACCAAACAAATCTTCCATAAACTGACGTTTCCTAACTTACAAATCACATGAGTTTATAAATCCATCATCTGCACACAACACATGAATAAGGTCAACTCATACCTTGGGGGTTTTAACGGCTAGGAAACAAATCAGGTTTTCTAAGGGTTGTTCGGCGGGTTTTTTTTATAGTATTTACCCAATATTTTCCCTCGACTTTAAAGCTCTGCCCACTTGAAACAATTAATATTGTTAATAATCCCCCTACATTGTTGGGGTGGAAATAAAGAATTGCCCCAATAGTAAATGTCAAAATTAAAACCGCAAGAAACTAGCCGAAAAATATATTTTCACGGGACAAAAGGTGATGGGTGGTTAACGAAGAATTACTGAACAACCTTAACGAGGTGCTGTACTATCCACGCTGACGACCACTAGAAGCAGCAAACTGGCCGTTAACAGGAACAACTGGAACCGTCATCTGTAAAGAAAAGAAATCTTTTAAAATACCCGTCTATTGTTTTGGAACGAGAATAGGTCAAATTTGAGTAAAACTTCAATATAAAATAAAAAGATTCATTCATTTAGCCAAATGAACCAACCATCCTACCTAACCTGAAGAGAACTAAGTGAATAAAACCTCGGGTAAACATGGCGAGAACCTACAGACAGCCATAGTCCAATATTAACCGAAAGATATTAAGGCTAACAAATACCTAAGTTAAACCCTGTAACATCACCAAGTGTGAGGACCGTCTTCAATTCGATGACCAAAACTAAACGACGTTTCATTAATTTAAATAAAAGAACAAGCCCAAATCGTAAAGTATACTCTAAAGTAACTGGTCTATGTGTTAACGACCATCAACCTATGCTTGTTCATTAGTCATGAACTCAAGTTTCTTCAATAATTTTTACAAATTCCATTTAAAGTGTCTCAATTTAAAATGAATCTGTACAAAATCGACAAATAACCTTAATATATCGACCTTAACACAAGCATAAATTTAACCGACCTTAACACAAGCATAAATTTAACCATTTAAATAAACTGAAAATATCACTTACCATATATTTAACGAACGTAGACCGGCAAGTGAGAGAGACGACCGTCAGCACCTCCACCCTCCGAGTCTCAAGTGACACTGGATGGGTCCGACGAGGCCATTTGCCAATCACCTCTGAGTAGTGTTTTCCCGCCAAGCCAAAAACTGTACACGATTGTGGGAATATTAAAAAAATAAATCTAACCTTAATCGTACATTCAAGTTTTATTAAAAATTTTAGGGTAAATTAATTTATATCGTAGTATAGAAAAGAAACAATAAGGAAAAACTTTACGGAAAAATAAATAAAAATAAGTATACGTACTGTACAGCAACCCAAATTCTTCAGCTTCGGACAGAGCACATATTGACGAATCAGGGCTGCCAACATTACTAATTTACTCAACTATAATATAAAAAATACTTTAATATCACTAACACATTTACTTTTATCTAAGAATAATATAATACTTTTAAAATTAATTAAACCTTTAACTAAGGAAACCTTTCAAGGAAAAATATATACGAAGTAATTCCCGACTACAATAACGGTAGTTACCATACCTTACTGGGTGGTTACCGCTCATTAGTATAGATAGATAGATGGTTGCAGGCGCTCTAATCTCTCAGGGTGCCCGAGGTGCCATATCTCAGGGACCAAACAGGGTGACAGTACTCCAGGCGGGGTGACAGTACTCCAGGTGGAGAAGTAACTCACCTCTTCTATCTCAGTCTCACACCTAACCCCGGTCGTGAAAGGTTAAAATCCTTAACTGTGTTAATCTATTTACTAAGGTGCCAACAGTGGGTAACAGAGAGCCAGTACATGCCCACAGTTATCAACAGTGGATAACAGAGAGCCAGTACATGCCCACAGTTATCAACAGTGGGTAACAGAGAGCCAGTACATGCCCACAGTTATCAACAGTGGGTAACAGAGAGCCAGTACATGCCCACAGTTATCAACAGTGGATAACAGAGAGCCAGTACATGCCCACAGTTATCAACAGTGGGTAACAGAGAGCCAGTACATGCCCACAGTTATCAACAGTGGGTAACAGAGAGCCAGTACATGCCCAGGGGCGGGGGAGACCTTCTATGGGCAGCAGAGGCCCGAGGGACCCTCCCAGGACCGGCGTGGGCCCCCAGAGACCCTCTCAGGAATAGCGGGGGCCCCAGGAATTCTCCCAGGGGTGGCGGGGCCCCAGGGACCATTCCCAAAGGCGGCTGGAGCTCCAGGGACAAGCCCATGGGCGGCGGGGCCCTGGACAGCAAGAGCTCCAGGGACCCTCCCAGGTGTGGGCCCCCGGGACTGCTTACTAGCAGTCTTGCATACTTCCCTGCCTGCTTGTCTGCCTGCCTACCAGCATGCTTGACTACCTGCTTGCATGCAATCTTTCCCGTCCCCTTGCCTATCTGCTTGCTTGCTTGTCTGCAGGGACACTCCCAGGGGCGATGGGGACCCCAGAGACCCTCCCTGTGGCGGGCCCGAGGCCCCCCGGGGCCCTCCCTGGGCAGCAGAGGCCTTTGGGGCCTCCCAGGTGCGAGGTCCCTCCCAAATGCATGGAGCTCTGGGACTTTCCCATGTGCAGCAGGGATTCCTGGAACCCTCCCAGGGATTGTGGTGCCTCCAGAGACCCTCCCAGGGGTGGCAGGCAAGGCCGACGCGAGGCAGCGGGAACCCATAGAACCTCCAGGCTGAGACCGAGGGACCATCCCAATGGAGGCAGAGGGTCCAGGGACCCTCCCAAAGACGGTGGGGGCCTCAGGGACCCTCCCAGAGGTGGCACAGGACCCTCCCAGGGTCCAGGGACCCTCCCAGGGGTAGTAGGAGCCCCAGGGACCCTCCCAGAAGTGGCTGGGGCCCCAGGGACCCTCCCAAAGGCGGCGGGGGCACCAGGGACCCTCCCAGGGGTAGTAGGAGCCCCAGGGACCCTACCAGGGGTGGCAGGAGCCCCAGGGACCCTCCCTGCAGGACTGCTGTTGTGTGGTGTATTATAAGGGTGTGTGGTGTGCAGCAGCAGCAGCAGCAGCAGCAGCTGACCAACAGCTCAGAGAAGACTGGACAACTCTCCCACAACACTGGCTAACCATTACCCTGGAACACGATCCACAAATCGATTATTATCCAGGTTCCCAATTACTGCTGGGTAGACAGAGGCAAATGGTGTAAAGAAACTTGTCCATAGTTTCACCCTGCTTGGGGATCGAACCTGGGTCCACTCGCTTGCGAGGTGAGCATGCTGACCATTACATCACAGGTCGCCACTCCTGGTTACTATATAAAGCAGGAGCATCAAACTCATGGCCTGCGGGCATAATGTGGCCCTTGGGATGGTCAGGTGTGGCCTGTGGGATGATGGTAAAATTAATCACTGTTATCTATAGCTACAACTAACTATACATACAATTTATGTGTAGTAAAAGAATATATAAGATTTGTAGGGAAACTTTGTACACGACGGTCGCATCAACCAACGCCTTGCTCTAGGCTCCACCAGGGTATGGATTTTATAATAAATTGTAGCCCCAAAATAATGCATATACAGTATATGCCTTTTGCTATCCTATTATTAGTGTTAATCATGTGTATTAAGAAAACTGAATTTTACATAAGACAAACCCAAGAGGTATTCCTGGTTCTCTTCAATCCTGCCAATATGTAACAGTACAGACTTGTGTTGGTCCTGAAAAGGGGAATTAAAATAAGAATTGACTCTTAAAAGGTTTTGAGTCTGACACCACTGATATAAAGTGACTCATACAATAGTCTACTTCAAAGATCTACATCACTACGTTACAGTAATAGGTCATCATTGAAGTTCACAACAACAATAATCTCATTCATGTAAAACTAAATCTGGAATTATAACAAGTTTAAAACTCTTAATCTGTAAAGTATCGTCGACATGAGCGTTCACTGACCTACTGTACACACACACACACAATGCCCTCGGTAACTTAAAAACGTTGGATTGCGTCAATTTTATAATATTTAACAAAGGCAAAGTTTTGTTCTTCTCTGAGTATGATTAACCCAGTCAATAATATTTTTAATGTTATCAGGATTTTAAAATGGCCGTTTATTTATGGAGCCGTATAAACGTACATTAAAACCCTCAAGTATAGGGTCCCTCGTTCAATGAAATCATGTCGTCGAGCAAGCACTAAATGGCATCACCAAGGACTTGAACAATGTATCCTAGATGAGTAAACACAGTACAAGTATCATTACAACACCAACACCCAATGAAGACAAGTTGTAAAATGTTGAAGTTTTTTGTAGATGGTAAGTAAAACTATAACATATCTTTCATCTTTATTCATAGCATTTAGCTGAGAGGTGTTCAGCTGCTATACATGGGGAGGAATCTTTTTTTATTTTACTGTATTTATTGTTTACTTTCACAATCATTTCAAGTACTGGGCATCGAATCATTTATTTATTTTTTTTTTGCTGTCGCTGCCAACGTTCTGCTTTTCCACTTTGAGAATAAGTGTGGCACTAAGTGATGACGCCATTTACTGAGACATCTATATCACCGAACTCATCCTGTCAGTCGCAGTTCCAGGGTTCGAGCAAGTTTGCCAATATACATTTTAATATATATATATATCTATACCGTATATATATATATATTCTTATATTAATCAATTTCAATAAGTTAATCTATAGATTTAAATAAAGAATGAATACAAAATAATAATAATAATAATTATAAAAAAGTCATTGCAAGAATAATCCAGCATCATTATTCCCCAGGTAGAAAGATCAAAGTGGCCTATTCGTTAAGCTACCTTCAACGACTCGATCAATAAATAATTCATGGCATCATTCGCTACTGCTTCACCACGCCTTGCCTCCGTCTCACGGTACAATAATCATCATCTAAGCTGATCTAATGAGAGGAAAGGAAAGTTGACAATGTAGAAAAATATAAAATAAAGATTACAAAGCTGGGTGCCTGACTGAGGAAGAACTGGGCGGGCAGGCAGGGTGGGGTGGAAGGGAGGTGAGTAGGGTAGTCAATCTCTCTCGGGCGATGTTTTGATAAATGCAATTGGGTAGGATATAGGGTATAGAAGGCAGGTGAGAGGAGGGAATCATGACCACGAGAGAATCGGAGACGTATGCCAACAAGAATCAGGGAATCAAAGAAGTGATCCAACTTACTAGACAGAATCGGGGAATCAAACAATAAATCATCGAATCAGACACTAAAGAATTAAGAGAATCGGACAATAAAATCAAGAGAATCAGACAATAGAATCAAGAGAATGAGACAATAATCAAGAGAATCAGACAATAGAATCAAGAGAATGAGACAATAGAATCAAGAGAATGAGACAATAATCAAGAGAATGAGACAATAGAATGAAGAGAATGAGACAATAATCAAGAGAATGAGACAATAGAATCAAGAGAATGAGACAATAGAATCAAGAGAATGAGACAATAATCAAGAGAATGAGACAATAGAATGAAGAGAATGAGACAATAGAATCAAGAGAATGAGACAATAATCAAGAGAATGAGACAATAGAATCAAGAGAATGAGACAATAATCAAGAGAATGAGAATAGAATCAAGAGAATGAGACAATAGAATCAAGAGAATGAGACAATAATCAAGAGAATGAGACAATAGAATGAAGAGAATGAGACAATAATCAAGAGAATGAGACAATAGAATCAAGAGAATGAGACAATAGAATCAAGAGAATGAGACAATAATCAAGAGAATGAGACAATAGAATCAAGAGAATGAGACAATAGAATCAAGAGAATGAGACAATAATCAAGAGAATGAGACAATAGAATGAAGAGAATGAGACAATAATCAAGAGAATCAGACAATAGAATCAAGAGAATCAGACAATAGAATCAAGAGAATGAGACAATAATCAAGAGAATCAGACAATAGAATCAAGAGAATCAGACAAGATAGATCATAAGAGGAAAGAGGCTGCCATGAACCTTATCTTCCCAGCTACAACAGACAGAAGGGGTTCAACACTGTCCAATTTCTCATCAACAAAGCCGACCCCAAACGAGAATCTGACCGAACAAACCTCTAAAAAAATTATTCAACAAGTTCGGAGACATTTAGTTAGTCGAGGTCTGTAGTGTATCGCCCCATTCATCAAGTGAAGAATTTAATAATAAAAAATTGAAAATAAAACAATCTTTATTTTGGTTATCGGTAAAAAATGAAGCAATTAACACGTTTTAATATATTGATAACAAAGGATATTTTTCATTTATTTTTTTAATAAACTAAACCATGGAACTGACTCGAGGGAAAATTTGAACCAAAGATAAAAAAAAAAAAAAAAAAAATATTTTCCTTGTTAAAAAAATATCTCTATGCCAGTGTATTTTTCTCTCAAGATATTTATTACCCTTAGGCTGGGCTGGCGTGGATCATGGGAGAGACCCGGGTGACCCTTCAATCGCTCTACGGCTGATTTACAAACAATGCCATGCGACGTTCACCCTTAGAGCGACCTTTGGCTGGGGTCCCTCCAAGATCCCCCTCCGCGGCAAGAAGTCGGTCGTTGCGGCGAAAAAAATTGACAATAGTGTTGGCCTTTGACCCCGGCAGAGAAAGTTAGTAGATGGTATGGAGATAAGAGAGAGTAGTACAGTAAAGGGGACAATACAGTTCAGTTATGGTAGGAAAAGATGGTATAGATATGGTAAATAATGGTAGGGGTAGATAGCATAGTTATGGTAAAATAATGGAGACTATTGAAGAAAGGAATGCTCTTTGTGTGTGTCAACGATAAAACAAGACGGGAGCAGTGAAAACCTAACGTCGCCTTTCACGCACGCTCGAGTACAAAGCATCATCTCACGTTTACGCTCGAAGCATCAGACATTCACGCACACCTTGGACATAAATAGTTCTAAAATTCTCTCTCCCTCATGTACAAAATTTATTGAAAGAAATTACAAATTAGGGCCAAATGCATTTCTATCATGTTATTCACTGTTTTTCTTTACAATTTCAGAAAAAAAAAGTTACAGCAGTACATTTTGATCTATGAGTTTAGCCAAGAGGTTGATTCTGGAATAGTGGTCACAAAACCAACCCGTCTATAGGAAAATACAAAAGGTGTAAACAAGGAGACATTCACAGTTGCATATTAACCCTTTGCATCACAAGCATAGCTGTCATAAGACTCGTAATCCCTGCACTTTTTCGACCGTTTATTTATTTTCTCGTATAAAAAAAAAAAACATATGACCACGCTATAGTATATGGCTTTCGACGGACAATCTCGCGTGCCGTCGTTCGGGTAAAAGATATTCCACGACATCGCGGCCTCCCATCGCAACGCTCACCTCATGTTTGTTTCTACGTTCATTTTGTCGGCCAGAGTCGGCAACAGAATCTAGTTGTCACGTACAGAACACCGAAGCTTCAGGAATTCGTGGATGACGATGAGGTGGGATAACTTTATACAAAAAATGTTTCATGTAATGCATCAACAAATAGTAACAATAGAATTTCTCATTTTTTTCATGTATGCGCTTAATACAAAAGAAATATACACGTGATGGTTGCAACTGAGCGACTGGTGAGGCTCCTCTTGTTTTGCGTAGAAAATAAACCCCCAAGTCATATTGTTTTCTTCTTCAATAAATCTTTCCAAATGACTTTACAACTAGAGCCCATCAGAACTCTCTCTCTCTCTCTCTCTCCGAGGCTCACTATTGACTTACTTCACATAATTTACCCACAGTTACCGTGGGAATAAAATAAAAGGACAGTGTGTCAAGAGATAGGTGGAGGTATGTCACTCTCAACGGTTGACGTTTATACAAAAAATCTTTTATCGGCCGATCTGCTATAGGGGGAGAAAACCACGACAGCAGAAGCGGCGTCATTCATTACTAGGGGGCCCACACCACCTGCCAACAAGGCCAGGGAAGTTAGCAGGACTACTGGCGACCTTCACTCCAGGCTAAATCCTTTAAAGAACATGTAGGCATTTTTTTTTTCTTTTTCAAGAGAGGAAGGTGCTATAGCGGTCACACTTCATCCCTCCACAGACCGAGTTTGTCACCAGGTGTTGGACTGTGGGACTAGAAGTAGGAGTTTAAGTGTCAGTGTGTGTCAGTGGGTGTGTGTATGCATGCATGTGTATTTCAGAAAGAGAGGGGGGGGGGGGTTTACATATATGCCTTGAAATGTTTAGCAAGTGTGTACAGTAGAAACATGTGTGACAAGCAGCCCTCTGTAATAAACTTGCAGCAAGGCTCAACTTAGCAAGTCATTACACATATTCACTTTTAATGAGGCTTACTATAAAACATGATAAGGCAAATCACATTTCAGTAATAATTTTGTTAGGCTAGCTGTCTGACAGGTCCCTCATCAATTTGTCTCTCATAGAATATTGCCACTAGCAAGAATGCAACACATGCATAAAACATATAAAAAAAATTATTTATTGAACCACCAGGGCTCATTTATATTCTTTTAAATCACCCAGCACTCCAGCCGCTCCACCCGACACTCGGCGCCACGCATCCTCGAGTCGTACGACCGGCGCCCTGCCACGGAACTGTCTACGTAAAACCATAACACTAACCTAAGACTTAAGGCCTCCTGTCACAGAAGCACAGGCCTCACAGTATAACTTCTTCCTATATCTCAACAATAAATACCAATCTGCAGCCTAACAATACTCCAGTTAGCGGCCGAGCTCCGTGTGACTCGCCCTTCCCCGCCGAGTACAACTCTCGCAATACTAAAATGTATTTACCGCGCGAGAAACATGGGAGCGTACCCGTAATAATACCCCTTGCATAAGTCCCCCTTATATTTTTTATTTATAATATGTATAAAAATTTAGCAAACCGCTCCGTACACCACCGACGCGCTGTACCGGCAACAAACAAGATCAATGAACTATCCTACATACATCTCTCAACACGACAACGGCAACAAAACACTCCCGACATCCCTGCACGTATCGAGTCCCACTCCGTGAGGAGGTCGGACACTCGGGCGGACACGACTGAAGGCTGGGGGACGAGCGTGGGTTTTCTCCTACTAAGCCCGGGCTTCACTGGCTGTGACGGACGAGGGGCGAGTAGTGGCCGCGGCTGCCGGGCGTACTCTTGGGCACGGACCAGTTACAGCTCGCGAGCTTCGTCTCGCTTCGCGTTGCCGGATGTGCCGAGGTTCAGACGTGCGACCCAAATTCGCGGAAATCTACGATAGTTTTTTTTATACAGATCAGACAGTGGCAATTAAACACTTTACAAATAGTTAGAAAGCAATATTCAATGAGGAACTACCTCATTATTGTTGATAAAACCTCTATTTTTTCACCTAACATATGCAGCACCTCAGTGTGCGAACCGTGGGTGGTGCTTGGGGAAGTACGGAATATGGTGACCCGACTGTAAGTGCTGCACGGCGGCCGTCGACGTGGGAGTGAAGCCCGCCATGGAGGAGGGAATGTGTGCCGTGGCGGAGTGTGGCGGAGGCCCTGCGTGGTGCATCATGTGTGGAGGAACCACCACAAACTGAGTGGCCATCTGTTGGCCGGGGCCGCCGTGGTGGCCGCCTCCAGCCGTACCTGCTGCACTCTGACCGGGCCCTGGGTACTGAGGGGCGTGAGGCGACTGTGCGGTGTGAGGCGAGTGCTGTGGCATGTGTTGAGACAGAGACTGCTGTGCTCCCATGTGAGGGTATATGAGGGACTGTGCCGGGGAAGGTCCCGGAGTAGACGGAGGGTTGGGCATGTTCGGAGGTCCGCTGCCGCCGCCCGGATTCTGTGGAGTGGGCGGTTGGGTGGGCTGAGGAACTGGTCCGGGCGTGTGCGCTGGGTGAGGCTGGTGAGGTGGTAAGGTAGCCTGAGTCATGTACATCGTCTGGTGACCGTGCTGCTGTGACTGCTGTTGGGAATCTGGATTCTGGTGACAAATACCCATAGATGTTGGCACCATAGCTGCCATCACCGGCATGCCTGCATGAGGAAACCGCAGCATCATGGGAACGCTCGGATATTGCTGAAACAAAACAAAAACAATAAGACAATCATACATACGTGTCTTCGTTAGGTAAATAATATAGAAACAATAGTGATATTTTGTGGGTCAAATTTATCACAAACTGAAATAGCTAAAGACACAGCAACACAAGGGGAAAAATAAAACAAATAAAATCTATATAAAATTGCCTCATAAATCAAGTACAAATTTAAATATATCACAACTTGTATGTGGCTGGGAACAGACAGGTCGGTCAAGAGAGACAGTTTGTTATAAGAGACAAAAACTTCATCTCTCCCTTAGGATCCTCACTCCTTCACTATATCGAGTAACAATGACGATACAAATGACAGCTTCGAATTGCCCTTTATAGACGATAAATCCTTGACCACCGAAGGGTCAAGACGTACCTGGCGCTCCTCTCGGAGCAGCCAGGTCAACTGTTAAGTTGGCCCATACCAACCCCCTCCCCTGAACCTTCCTCCCCACCGGAATATCAACAAGTTCTCGCCAGAAGTTACAATTTCATTTAGGAAAGGAACGGAACCAATGTTAAACAGAGGTGAACAGTGCTTAAGTCAGTGAGAACAACTCAACAGTAACAGTCGTACCCAAGTTAACCTTCACACAGTGAGGTCCCAGGTACCCAGTGATAACGGCCCGTGAGACCCAACAACAACCAGCGATGTGTTAATCCGTCTACGATAGGAAGGCCTGGGACCACACCTCACTCATATAACACCATCTGTGAGGGAATTACTACACCACATGTCCCTCATAACACCATCTGGGAGGGAATTACTACACCATGTGAGGCCCCTCATAACACCATCTGTGAGGGAATTACTACAACACGTCAGGTCCCTCATAACACCATATGTGAGGGAATTACTACACCACGTGAGGTCCCTCATAACACCATCTGTGAGGGAATTACTACACCATGTCAGGTCCCTCATAACACCATCTGTGAGGGAATTACTACACCACGTGAGGCCCCCTCATAACACCATCTGTGAGGGAATTACTAGACCACATGATGCCCTCATAACACCATCTGTGAGGGAGTTACTACACCACGTGAGGCCCCTCATAACACCATCTGTGAGGAAATTACTACACCACGTGAGGCCCCTCATAACACCATATGTGAAGGAGTTACTACACCACGTTAGGACCCTCATAACACCATCTGTGAGGTAATTACACCACGTGAGGTCCCCCATAACACCATCTGTGAGGGAATTACTACACCACGTGAGGTCCCTAATAACACCATCTGTGAGGGAATTACTACACCACGTGAGGACCCTCATAACACCATCTGTGAGGTAATTACACCAACCAAGTGAGGCCCCCATAACACCATCTGTGAGGTAATTACTACACCACGTGAGGTCCCTCATAACACCATCTGTGAGGGAATTACTACACCACGTGAGGCCCCTCATAACACCATCTGCAGGGAATTACCACGAGGTCCCTCATAACACCATCTGTGAGTAATTACTACACCACGGATGCCCCTCATAACACCATCTGTGAGGGAGTTACTACACCACGTGAGGCCCCTCATAACACCATCTGTGAGATAATTACTACACCATGGTCCTCATAACACCAGCTGTGAGTAATTACTACACCACGTGAGGTCCTCATAACACCATCTGAGGAACTACTACACCACGTGAGTTCCTCCTAACACCATCTGGGAGGGAGTTACTACACTCGTGTTGCTGTTCAATACCTACATTAATCTGTATGTTCACTGTATGTTCCTTTACCTTTCTCTAACGAAGGCTTTTGTTAAACCACCAATGTATGTAATAAGTCATTTATGTCCAATGTATATTTTCAGCTTCCGGGCTGCAGAACTTTTTCAATAAACCGTCAATTATTATTATTATTTATTATTATAAATGAATCACCAAAACCGGCGTTATCATTATGGTATACGATGACCAAAAGAAATAACTTAAGCACCTCGGGCAACACACAGGATAGGAGATAACTGAGGACTTAACACAGCTATATGCAAGAATTTAACACAGCTATATCCAAGAAGTTAACACAGCTATATCCAAGAAGTTAACACAGCTATATCCAAGAAGTTAACACAACCCGGTGACAACTGGCCTTCAAATACAAACTTATTAAAACAGCACAGTACTCCCTTAACATAGCAACCAGGCAGTACTGTGATAGTTACGGTGGTCTGTAGGGAACGACAATCTGGGTGATTAAGATGTCAGTGGTTACCCGGGACGAAATTGGTCGTTTAAAGCCCGTTAATTGTCTCCCAGGATACCACCCATCCCCCCACCAGGTCTTAGTGATTGAGTGGGATACTGTACAGTTCCATCTTAGGTTGATTAAACTGTTCCGTCTGCTTTAGTTATTAAGTCAAAACAGTAAATATACAACAAAACCTCCATAGAACGGACTATATAGAGAGGAAAGTCCTTTATATCGAGGGTCTGTTAAATGCAAAACCCCCATCTAACGAACTACAGCAGCTCCTTGACTTACGACGGGGTTAGGGACCCAAATCCAGGTTGTAAGTCGAAAATTCTTAAATAATACAAAGAAAATCTAAAAATGGGTGTCTCTTTTTCTTCTCAGCACCACAAAACTCTCACTTTTAAGCTTGCCGGCCATTTTAAAGTGAATTACAAACGAAAATTTTGTCAGTACACAGCGCAATCACTAACGTTGGGACTCAAAAATACGTAATCTGGCAAAATTTTGGTACGACTGAGGCGGTCGTATGTCCGGGAGGTCGTAGGTCGAGGAGTAGCTGTATATAGAGATGAAAGTCCATTATATTGCGTCCCCAATATTCCACCACTAACTGGCGGGTCATCAGAAAACAAGACACATAACAGACCCAACTGACATACCTGGTAGTGTTGCGGATTCTGAGGCAACATATTCTGTGGTATGTGTACGGTAGTGATGGCCTGTGGCTGGGTGTTCATGGGGGCCGGGGCCAGTATGGGCTGACCGGTCGCGGCTGCTACTTGCATTGGTGATGTGTACTCTGGCCGCTGGCTGTTACCCACTGGAACTGTCGCAGAGAAAAACGATACATTAAACTATCTCTCCCGATTCAGATTAACATTTTTCTAAATTAATATTTTCCTAACATAAGAATCTCCTAAAACAAAACATTTTTCTAACATAACATAACATTTTTCTAACACAATATAAGATTTTCCTTACATAATATAATTTTTTTCTAACATAACATTCTTCCTAACATAATATAACATTCTTCCTAACATAATATAACATTCTTCCTAACATAATATAACATTCTTCCTAACATAATATAACATTCTTCCTAACATAATATAACATTCTTCCTAACATAATATAACATTCTTCCTAACAACATAACATTCTTCCTAACAACATAACATTCTTCCTAACATAATATAACGTTCTTCCTAACATAATATAACATTCTTCCTAACATATCAAAACATCTGGCCTAACATAAGACTTTCCTAACATAAAGTAAAGATTGTAAGTATCTCAGCCATTCTCAGATGTTAAAGACAAGGCAAATAAGTATTCTCTTATTACTGTATTACTGAGTTTTGTTTTTGTGTGGGGCAGTCTGGGAGGAGGTGGTGGGGGGAGTGAGAGTGAGGAGGTGGGGGAGGGGTGTGGGGGGGGATAGAGCAATATAGAGTGAGATAGAATAGAGGAATAGAGCTGAGATAAGTGAGAGAACTCCTACGTAGATTCTTTCCTCATCTCCTGAACTTAAAGACGCCGTAGCGTACTAAGTAACTCCTATCTAAGTGATGTGAACTATATTGGGTTAATAACTTTCTAATTAAACTTAAAATTGAACTTAAAACTAGAATCAAACTGACCTGGATTAGATTACCGTAACGAGTTAATCCACGTCAGTTTTTTTTATGTCATCAGTGGTCACCTTATATATAGTACAGTTGGTATTACAGCATTGACTCTTGCTCCCATAGATACAGGTTACAAGAATTAATGTTGTTACCTCTGAAGCTAGCAAGCGTGACCATCACCACTACAGATATAAAGTACAGTACTAGCTAATTCGTGGTCACACACACATACACATTATACGACATACCGTAATGAAAAATAGATTAATCCCTCCCTCTCTCGTTAACTAGGGGTCTGAAGGTAACGTTTTTATATTTTGTACGAGATTAGCCGTGGTATCTGGTTAGGGGTATCTCTGGGTACCAGTTTCATAGCCTAGACAGTGAGAATATTTGCTGGATCACATCTGTCTTGAGGTTCGTCTTATTTAACTTCATTAGAGGACAATTTATTATCTATTATGCCCGGATCCTCATTGTGTTTGGGGCGTTAAAGCATCGTTATCAATATTTAAGTCGATTTCCACCTGTGTATAGCCTCTTGCAGTCTCTGAGGCCATTTCTTACAACCTCTCCCCATGTCACTGTTGTTCTGCCTCTACCTCTCCTCCACCTCCACATTTAGACTCATACCTCCAGTTAGTCTCCTCCACTCATACCTCCAGTTAGTCTCCTCCATTCATACCTCCAGTTAGTCTCCTCCACTCATACCTCCAGTTAGTCTCCTCCATTCATACCTCCAGTTAGTCTCCTCCAACCACACCTCATCTCACCAGTCACATTTCTAGCTCACTCAAGTCTACCTATGTCATCCTCTTCAACTGTCTATATTCACTACCAACTCTTCAAGCTATTTCCTTTCATGTAGTAATGGTCTTAAAATTTCCTCAAGTCACTTTCATAACCGAGTAGCTTCAACACCCCTCCACCAGGTAACAACTAATTAACACAGCTAAGCCCACATGGTTACCTGATAGATATACAATAACACCAATATTCAGCAACATCCTCCAGTCTGCTATTCACAGTACCTCATGTGTACCCGCCTTCCACACATTAATTAGGAGACAGAACATGGCTAGTTGCACTTCCCACAGGTCCCTCATCCAAGCCAAGAGTCAATTAGTGATTTTTCATCCTTCATATTATGTACTATATAGCTATCTACTGTGCTGGTAATTTAACAGTATGAGAGAGGGAGGGTTGGGGGCTAGGTTGGGGGCTAGGTTGGGGGCTAGGCTGGGCAGGGGTCCTAGTGCAAACAGCCACCCAACTCACAGCCATTATCACCCAACAGTAAATATACTCCAAATAACATGACAACACCTTTTTCTTATACAAACCCCAAGGAAATTAACTTATCTAAAATGATATAAATATTCTGTAAGATTAATATTTCTGCTGATAATTCAGATGAATGATACGCTTTGTTTTGATTACAGTCTTATTCTATACCATTAAATATGTCCATTAAACTAAAAAAAATAAAGCGGGCTGGGACGAATCATAGAGACAGTACAGCACATCCTTAAGTGCACTGATAAGTCCTGACATGAACCTACTCTGATAGCCCCCAGCTCTTTACTGTATGCTGTCAAGTTAGAAATAAAGTTGTAAATACATTATACTGTTAATGTATAGTTAATCTTGTAAGATGTTTATACACAATGTCTCAAACTAAGGGGAAACTCCTCCATTACCCAACACCCCCCCCCGAGGAAGAACTCATTATCGTAACCCATATATTTCTTGAAAGGTTATTGTGTAGTTAAGTTTACAATATAACATACAGTAGCATAAGGGAGTTAGTAATATGGTAATTATTTCTATACTACAAGTCTTAATGGATAATATGAACATCAATCAGTCTGCCATGTGTGTATGTGTGTGTTAACCACTCCACAACTTCTCTCCCACCCTGACCACCTAACAACCCTCCCTCTATGGCAGGTGTCCAGTACGTAGTCGTCAGAGCGTCCAGTGACCGACTAAAAAAAAAAATAAATAAATAATGCTGAATGGTTTAATCCTCTTGTGTGGTTCCTTTCTAGAATCAGAAACTATTAGGAGCAGATGTTTGGTTATTAATCTAAATGCAGGCAAAAGAGAGTCACGTGGTCGACTTAACAGAGTTTTGAGGGCGACCGACCGACCGTCCGACCAGCAGACAACGCTCGACGGACAGTACTGGACACCACCACCCTTATCTACACCACACCACCACACTACACAGCAACTGGAGGGGGGAGGAGGTGTTTACTTGACATCCACGGCCTATAATCTTGATAAAGAAAAAAAGAGAACAACACATTAAACATGATCATGGTAAGAGAGATTGAGAGGCATCAGTAAGTTAAATGAGAAGATGAAGGAAACATTCTTATATATTATAGTGTGTGTGTGTGTGTGTGTGTGTGTGTGTGTGTGGGTATGGTGTGTGTGTATGGTGTGTGTGTGGGTGTATGGTGTGTGTGTGTATGGTGTGTGTGTGGGTGTGTGTGTGTGGGTGTATGGTGTGTGTGTGGGTGTATGGTGTGTGTGTGTGTGTGTGTGTGTGTGTATGGTGTGTGTGTGTGTGTGTGTGTGTGTGTGTGTGTGGGTGTATTGTATGGTGTGTGTGTGTGTGGGTGTATGGTGTGTGTGTGTGGGTGTATGGTGTGTGTGTGTGGGTGTGGTGTGTGTGTGGGTGTGTGGTGTGTGTGTGTGGTGTATGGTGTGTGTGTGTGGGTGTATGGTGTGTGTGTGTGTGGGTGTATGGTGTGTGTGTGTGTGTGTGTGTGTGTGTGTGTGTATGGTGTATGGTGTGTGTGTGTGTGGTGTGGTGTGTGTGTGTGTGTGGGTGTATGGTGTGTGTGTGTGGGTGTATGGTGTGTGTGTGTGGGTGTATGGTGTGTGTGTGTGTGGGTGTATGGTGTGTGTGTGTGGTGTGGTGTGTGTGTGTGGGTGTATGGTGTGTGTGTGTGTGTGTGGTGTGTGTGTGTGTGTGTGTGGGTGTATGGTGTGTGTGTGTGTGGGTGTATGGTGTGTGTGTGTGTGTGTGTGTGTGTGTGTGTGTGTGTATGGTGTATGTGTGTGTGTGTGTGTGTGGTGTGTGTATGGTGTGTGTGTGTGTATGGTGTGTGTGTGGTGTGTGTATGTGTGTGTGTGGGTGTATGGTGTGTGTGTGTGTGTATGGTGTGTGTGTGTGTGTGGGTGTATGGTGTGTGTGTGTGTGGGTGTATGGTGTGTGTGTGTGTGGGTGTATGGTGTGTGTGTGTGTGTGTGGGTGTATGGTGTGTGTGTGGGTGTATGGTGTGTGTGTGTGTGTGTGTGTATGGTGTGTGTGTGTGTGTGTGTGTGTGTGTGTGTATGGTGTGTGTGTGTGGGTGTATGGTGTGTGTGTGTGTGTGTATGGTGTGTGTGTGTGTGTGTATGGTGTGTGTGTGTGTGTGTGTGTGTGTGTGTGTGGGTGTATGGTGTATGGTGTGTGTGTGTGGGTGTATGGTGTGTGTGTGTGTGTGTGTGTATGGTGTGTGTGTGGTGATGTGTGTGTGTGTGGGTGTATGGTGTATGGTGTGTGTGTGTGTGTGTGTGTATGGTGTGTGTGTGTGGGTGTATGGTGTGTGTGTGTGTGTGTGTATGGTGTGTGTGTGTGGGTGTATGGTGTGTGTGTGTATGGTGTGTGTGTGTGTGTCTTGAGTTTGTGTGTCTGAATTTGTGTCTTAAGTGATTGTATCTTTGAGTTTGTGATTTGCTAATGAATTGTGTCTGAGTTTGCATCGTGAATTTGTGTCTTGTAAGTGATTGTATCTGAATTTGTATCTTTAAAGTAATTATTTGTCTTAATATCAAATTCTAAAACACATCAACAACACACACAAAGTCACCCAGCACTAAACATTTGCTCCACAGTAGTGAGTAGTGAGACAATACCGTGAGTTAAATGCAAGTCATTACAAACTTGAGAAAATAATCAATTTGGAGAGAGACAATCACTTCATAATTGCCAACTCTATGCAATGTTGGCAAGTCTCCATCTACCCCTATTCCCACATACACTCCTTCCCTCTCTATCCCCTCCTGCTGAAATCTTACCGTCCACGATCTACATCCTATGGCATCCTATGTGATTTATGTAGCTATATTCTCAGAGATTTGTCTATGTTAGAAGCACAGAAGCACAATTAAAGAAGCACAGTCCACGGACAAAAGTTGGCTCTCGGGGGTGAAAATGAGCCACTGGAATGAGTCTCCAAACTGATTTTTAACCCTGACTTTTTCATCTTGTTTGGGGTCGATGGTACTTTGTTTAGGTCGGGAGAGAACTTTTGACCCTGGCTGTACATCTGACTACATAAAAAATTTTGACCCAGGCTGTACATTTGACTACATAAACAATTTTTGACCCAGGCTGTACATCTGACTACACAAACAACTCTAGCCCTGACCAACGGAACGTCATTCGTATTTCTGAGTGGAAGCGCTTAACTAGTGTATTGAAAACCATTATTCTATTGCTATTGTATGCTCTTGAAAACCATTTATTCTATTGCTATTATAAACATTCAAAGTTAATACAGGGCCCCTCAGAATAAAACCTACACAAGCTAACAGATTCTCATGATAATCTCTTGAATGCTCATATACAGTATCACATAATAAAATTTCTGAGACACCCTGTATATTTTCTACCCTAGTTAATTTTTATGTTTCAATCACGTCTCTTCCATTGTCGAAGTGACCAAAGTCTATTGAAACCATAACCTTCAATCTATGTGACCTGACCTAACATAACCTTCAATCTATGTGACCTGACCTAACATAACCTTCAATCTATGTGACCTGACCTAACATAACCTTCAATCTATGTGACCTGACCTAACATAACCTTCAATCTATGTGACCTGACCTAACATAACCTTTAATCTATGTGACCTGACCTAACATAACCTTCATCTATGTGACCTGACCTAACATAACCTTCAATCTATGTGACCTGACCTAACATAACCTTCAATCTATGTGACCCGACCTAACATAACTTTCATCTATGTGACCTGACCTAACATAACCTTCAATCGACCTAACATAACTTTCATCTATGTGACCTGACCTAACATAACCTTCAATCTATGTGACCTAACCCTAATGAAATCAACACGAGCTATTATTCCTGATCTTTAACCTAATCACCATAACCTAACCTAATGAACTATACAGAGATGAAGAGTCCGTTATATCAAGGGCCCAATAAATCTAAAACCTCAATATAACGAAGTGTATAGAGATGAAAAGTCCGCTAAATCGAGGGTCCGATAAATCTAAAACCTCAATTTAACGAACTTCATAGTCAAAAAGTCCATTATATCGAGGGTCCTTAGGTACAAAACCCCCAATCTAATGGAATATACAAAGACGACAAGTCCTTTATATCGAGGTTCCGCTGTACTCTTACCTCTCTTGGGGAACCGCGGAGGCTGAGGCTGCACGGTGAACGACTGGGAACTCATCACAACAGTCTGGGGCATCCCTACGGGCGGGGCTCCCATCTGCGGGGGCTGGTTCGACTGGATCTGTGGGGTCTGGGGCGTGTGAGGCCTAGGGGGAGTAGTTGTGCTCGGGGAACGCTGCGGGATGATGGGGGGAGGGAGAAGGGGGTAACGATGAGTCATGGGGTTCCAGAGAGACATTAATTATACTTCATGGTTCAAAAAATAATAAATAAATAAAACAAGATAAATCAGGCAAAGGGTAAAAAAATCAGATAAATTATAGTTAATGTCAATAATCTGAGATAAATTATAGTTAATATGTCAATAATCTGAGATAAATTATAGTTAATATGTCAATAATCTGAGATAAATTATAGTTAATATGTCAATAATCTGAGATAAATTATAGTTAATATGTCAATAATCTGAGATAAATTATAGTTAATATGTCAATAATCCGAGATAAATTATAGTTACTATGTCAATAATCCGAGATAAATTATAGTTAACATGTCAATAATCCGAGATAAATTATAGTTAATATGTCAATAATCCGAGATAAATTATAGTTAATAAGTCAATAACCTGAGATAAATTATAGTTAACATGTCAATAATCCGAGATAAATTATAGTTAACATGTCAATAATCCGAGATAAATTATAGTTAATATGTCAATAATCCGAGATAAATTATAGTTAATAAGTCAATAACCTGAGATAAATTATAGTTAACATGTCAATAATCCGAGATAAATTATAGTTAACATGTCAATAATCCGAGATAAATTATAGTTAACATGTCAATAATCCGAGATAAATTATAGTTAATAAGTCAATAACCTGAGATTAATTATAGTTAATATATCAATAATGAGATAAATTATAGTTACTCAATGGGTCAAATATGCGTGAGAAATCAGTTAATGAGGAACAAAATTCAAGCGAAAATCATATCTGCGGTTATTGTGATGTGATTTAGCTTATCTCTCTGTCTTTTGATAGTTGTGAAAGGTCATGTGAGGTGTGACTTTGAACCACAAACTGCGACCTTGTGAGATGATAAAGGTCCTTGGGATGGGTCTTGTGTTTGGGTTAATGCTGATAAAACAATTACTGAGAACTGGGGGAGGAAATTAAAAATGAAAAGTTATCGCCTTGACGACCTCTGACCCTTACACCCCAAGACTAAGGATTATGACAGCGATGCCAGATGACGACGCGTTCCCTCGGTACGTCGGAAAAAACCCACGAGCGATACTTACGGGACTGAACGGCTTGGCGTTGGGGTTAAAGACGAACTCCTTTGCATTGGGGTTAAGTTTGGAGTGAGAGACGGCCGAGGAGATCTTGTCGACGTCTTCGTGGGGTTTGTTGATGTCCGCCGCAGGGCTCATGGTCATGGTGGGAGGGTTCTGGGGGTGGTGAGAGCTCTGGGGTGCTGACTGGGGTGGCCCAGGAGGAGGCACTGACGCAGGAACGGGTGGTGTTTGCCTCTGTTGGGGGTGCTGTTGTGGGGGCAGGTGCTGAGGAGGCAGGTGCTGTTGGGGTGGCATAGGGGGCTGTTGTTGTTGTTGTTGTTGCTGCTGGGGTGGTGGTTGTTGTGGCTGCTGCTGTTGTGGTGGTGGCTGCTGTTGTGGTGGTGGTTGTTGCTGTTGTTGTTGTTGTTGCTGGTGATGTTGCTGTGGATGCTGCTGCTGTTGGGGATGCTGTGGGTGTTGTTGCTGAGGCTGCTGAGGCTGTTGCTGTGGAGGCTGCGTCTGTGGTTGCGGCTGTTGTTGTTGTGGCTGCTGTGGCGGTGGCTGCTGAGGCTGTTGCGGAGGTGGCTGTTGTTGTGGCTGTGGAGGCGGCTGCTGTGGCGGTGGCTGTTGTTGTTGCTGAGGCGGTGGCTGTTGTTGAGGCGGTGGCTGCTGATGGTGTACCTGAGGTTTCTTCTCCGCCGGCTCCGTCAACTTGAACTCCTCGCTGAACTTCCTCAGATCGGCCAACTGTTCCTCCTTGACCCGGTGTTGTTTACGAGGCTCCCTCTGTTCCCTCGGCTCGGCCTTGCGGTGATCGCCCTGACCGACCGGCGGCATGTGACTGGTGTGCTGGCTCGGCGGGTGAAGCTGCTGTTTCTGCTGGACTTGCTTCTGCTGCTGGCCGTCGCTGTGGGGCGGTCCGTGGTGTTGGCGGTTGTGTTGGCCGTCCTGCTTGTTGTTGTGGCGGGGTTCTCTGTTGGACTCGCTCATGGAACCCTCGTGATTTCTGCGGTCTGGGGGGGGAGGACACGAGTGATGGTGGTAATTAGTTATAGAGAACAACCGTTAATGTTTGTTTAATTGTCCAGTACACATAGTAGTAGTATGTAGATGCACAGTAGTAGTAAAAATAATAGTAAAATAGTAACAGTAGTAAAAATAAGACAAAACTGCCAATACCCATGACGGTTCTAACACCAACGACTACATCCGTACACTTAACTCATTACAGTACCAGTCAGATTAGCACCAGTTGACACATACTGACCAGTCTATAGAAGCAAGGACTGTACCCCCCCACCACCACCCCCCAGAATAGTAAGTAAAGTGAATTCAAACTGATATTGTTCAGCTTGTTCCTTTCCTGCTATTGTGTGGATTTAGGAAGGAAGGAATGGAGAGAGTTAGAAAGAAAGAAAAAGATGTAAGAAGGAAGGAAAATGAGGGAGAAGGGAGAAAAAAGACAAAGAAAAAAAGAAGAAGAGAGGAATAAGGGACAAAAGTAAGAGAGAAAAAAGGTAGGAAATGAGAAATAAAGGAAGAAAGAAATAAAAAAACACATGTACTTGGGAAATGGCCGTAAAACAGTGATACCACACGAGCCTCTCAACTTACCATAGGATCCCTTAGTGTCACCATTCACTTTGGTGTCTGGGGTGTGGCCGTGGTGGGCGCCCTGTGAGTTGTTGCGGTGTAGGGGAGGATGGGCCGCGGGGGAGGGATTGTGGCCGGCGGGGTTGGGCGTCTGTTGCTGCTGGGGAGGGTAGGCCTGGGAGCCGCCGACGAGGCCCCCGACGGGGCTGTGACTCGCCGAACCGGCCTGCGGTGGACCCTGATACGAAGGGGAGGTGGACGCCGGAGGATTAGGCCCCGGGTGACTGTTGTATCTGGCCCCCACGGGTGGTGGCGTGGACCGCTGCAGCTTCCCACCGTTCTTACTCTTGTTTCTCAGCATCGGGGGAATATATTTACCTCCGGCCATTCCTCCAGCCGCCTGTTCACCTGGTCTCGCTACGGCTGAATATCTGCCAAAGAGTGACCCAGGAATTAGCTGGTATATAACCTTTACAAACACCTGATGTTATCTAGATGGATATTTGGGAGGAGAATGTGTGTGTGTGTGTGTGTGTGTGTGTGTGTGTGTGTGTGTGTGTGCATATCTAAGCGTACGAGTATTTAACACCTCTCCCTTCCATTATAACATCACGATGGCTGTGGCTAACTCATCAAACACTGGGATGGTGACACACACCACAACCTAACCTAACCAGCTGACCAGAGTGTGAAGTCTTTACAACAGACAATGAGAATAAAGACACAGAAGGTATTACACGAGAGAGAGAGAGAGAGAGATGGACCTGAGGCTATAACAAAGGCAAACCGAAGTATTAATCCACTATTCCGCTGGCCATAATGCCAATCCACTATTCTATCTATAATGTGTCAAATTTATCAACTTATTTCTATTTTTACTTTCATAATTTTATACCAAGTTGTCATCACCCATTTCCTACACACAATTCTCCTCCTCATCCCCATTTCCTACACTAACTTACCCTCTCCTCACCCCCATTTCCCCAACCCCATAACTCACGTGTCCTCCTCGTCCCCATTCTCCAACTCGGACTGTGCGTTGGAGGACGGAGACTTCAGGATCTCGGCCGCGATCCTAGACGCCTTCTCCTCTCGCTCACGGTACTCTGCGGTATTTTTTTTGTTGAGGGGCGTCGTGTAGCCCTCCATATCGGGGCTGTAGGAGGTGGTGACGCCGTATTTCTCCTCATTTTTGCGGAACATGTCGTCCACGTCCCAACCATTCTGCGGCCGAGACTAAGAAGTATTAATGACAGAGTGAACTTGTGGCCCAAATGCATTATTATTATTAGTAGTGTTAGTATTATAATCATTCATCATCGTTATTATTTACATTCATGACAGCTTGTGCGTGATACATTACTGTCAGTCTAAATCATTCTGCATTGACGTACGAGAATCAAAACACATTATTATTATTAACGTCTAAACCATTCTGCGTCGATGTTTATAATAAAATGACTGTATATTAACATCCACCTGCATTAATAATTGTGTAAGCAAAATAGAATGTAGAATTAACATGTAAATTATTTTTGTATCAATGAATTTAAGAATGAAGGAATATATTATGGGCATTTTTAAGCTAATTCAATGGGTTGACTTGATGATGATAGATGACAAACAGTTAGGTTGGGTTAGGTTAGGTTAGCATTGGGGTAGTTAACTGAGGGGTAACCCATGAAACGTCGACACATTCTAGCGAGGTAAAGTTAGGTTAGCATCAGGTTAGGTTAGAATAGACTAGTTTAGGTTAAGTTAGGGCAGGTTAGGATAGGTCAGGATAGCATTAGGTTAGGTCAACATCAGGTTAGAGGTGAAATAAACAAGAGCGTCTATAATCACCAGGTAACAACATAAGAGACATAACCAGCCAGATCCTCCACTTACCGAGCTATCTTCCAGAACTAAACTATCTTCTGTAGCGGTCTCCCCCTGCCACGGCTCCAGGGTCCTCTCAACCACCTGTCCATTAAATCGGCTAATAACTTGGTCTACTTGAAATCCCTCTGAAAGGAAAACAAAAGTCACGTTAATAAAAGAAAACAATAACAAAACAAATCGAAAATGTACATCATATATATATTGTTTTGATTTTATTTTGAATGGGGACTTTTTTTTTTCAAGAGCTAACGTTTGTTGTTCAGGGGGCTATATTTATTTTCCAGGGGGCTAAATTTATTTTCCAGGGGGCTAACATAAATTTTCAGGGGGGGGCTAGATTTTCTCACTTTCGACAGAGTAGGTTATTACTCAAAAGCCCTCACAGACAAGACCCAAACAAAAACGCCCCCCAACACCCACCTCTAGTTGCATATTCTAGATCGACATTGGCGACCTTAATGGTGACGATATCGGTCGCTGTGAAGATCATCTTACGCTTGATGGTCTCTGGGTTGATGAGGGCCGGGTCTCCTCGCGACACTGGGTGGGCCAGATCTAAAACCAGATCGAAGTTTGGCCCGAAGGTTGTGAAGACGCCCTCGATGACGTCGTTTGTCTTAGTTTGAATCTGTCGGTGGATCAGAACTCGAGTTAGTGGCTTTGAGGACGTGTCAAAAATATAACCAATAAAAAAAAAAAAAAAAAAAAAAAAAAAAAATCAACAATTTATGACACTTCCTTAATTGCTAAACGACAGCCATCATATGTAAACAACAGAGTTTAAATCCATACAAGAGTGATAAAGCGTCACCTTAACCTGTGAGGGTCGAGGAGCATCAACTTACCCTGACTGGGAGACCGACCAGGGCCCCAACTGACTGCATGAAGCGGTGGTTAGTGTATACACCGTCTGGTAGCACTTGTTTCTCCGCACCTTTTCCACGACCGCCCCTGGAGAAAAACCAAACACACACACTCGTTATAAACCACCCCGTTCAACTCTACCCCTTCTCTTCACTACGGGGATACAACTCGAAAAAGAGAGAGAGAGAGAGAGAGAGAGAGAGAGATTAGGATCTTTTGATATACAGTAGTGAAAATATGCAGATAAATTACAAAACACGAAATCAAATAACAGATAACGACGTGCGGCTGTAACGACGACAAATACAGACCAGACAAAACACAAACAAATTTACATAATACATAAAATAAAGACACACGGTAATTAGAAGTAAGGGGAACGATGGCTGAGAGACATTAATGGGGTGAAATTGATGAAAGGAGGACACCGGGATAAGAGACCTTGGGTGGATGAATGGAATTTTTAAAAGGCTGTGGTGGTTCCTTGAGAGATGCAACACCTGGGAGGATTGGTGAGGACTGTCAGAGGAGGGGGAAGAGAGTATTAGGAGGAGGAGGGGGATTACTATAGGAGGACTGTGATCTGCTACTCTTGAGGCCTGAAGATGGCAGCTACCCAACCTAACCTAGACTAACTATTTGAATTTATATTTATAATGCTGTACCACTGATGCCTTATATAAACCTTATCATAAAACCTAACCTAAAGGAGAGAGAGAGAGAGAGAGAGAGAGAGAGAGATACATACATACCAACCTTACCCTAACCAAGGTAAAATATGCACACCGTTTGTAAACACATATGCAGATAACACCCCACCCCACAACTACCTTATCACTACACCACACACAATCAGTGAACCATTTCCACACATGTTTGGCACACAACAAGAATGTGGTGAAATGGGGTGTGGTTGCAGTGGGGTGTTGGGGTGTGTTAGGGTGGGGGTAGGGTGGGGTGTGTTAGGGTGGGGGTGTGGTGGTGTTAAGGTGATAATGATATAAGTCATACAAGCACAGTAGATTTTGTTTTGTTTTGAGTCACTTGTGGCAGGTCATTCCTCACTACAGCTCTAGGTGTGGGAGAGAAAAATTACACACACACACAAAAACCACAGACAGACACAAAAAACAGACAGACAGACAAACAGAGACAGATGCACAAAACAGACACACATACATACACACATAAAACAAACACAACACACCCCCACACACTCTTTCTCACACACACACAACAAACATACCCACCCACACATACACCCACACACACTCTCTTCCCCCACTAACTACCTCTCCAGATGGTTTCTAACACGACCTTCACCTTCCGCCTCTCGGCCAAAGACAGGACACCCACCTAGCCTCACCCCCCCGTCAGGCTGTATAGAGGAAAATACCCGTAAGAACTGGATTGTACTGTGAATTGTGTTTGGGGATTGTCGTCAGTATTATATGGATGATGATGATGATGATGATGATGATGATGATGAGAGAGAGAGAGAGAGAGAGAGAAAATGGAGGTAACAAGAGGCTGGTTAATCTTCAGGTGAGATAAACTAGGGTGCTTCCATGATAGTTCGTGGTGTACTGCTGGGATAGGTGTGTGGTGTGGGTGTGGTGTGGGTGGATATGTGGTGTGGTGTGGAGGAAAAGTGTAATATTTCCCTTGAATCTAGTCATCAAACACACACAATCTCTCTCTCTCTCCTTATCAAGCATTGGGCAGATAAACAGATACACAAACTTCATAAAATATCCCCCCCCAAATAGTAGCACTTTAACATATAAACAAAGAAGGTTACAGGATTACAGGAAGCTAGCAATCACCCACACGACCTATGTAACCTATGTAATTCTTTGTATTAATCCACAGCAAAAAAATAAATAAAATAAATCCACTTGAAACAATTTACTGTAATTTGTGAGAAAGATTTGAGTAGTTTAAATCTGAAATATTATGAGAAAAAATGTATAATCTGGCAACTGTGTGTGTGTGAAACTGATGACACACTGAAAGCTAATTTGTGGACTTGATAATGCAGTGTGTTCGAGAATAATGATGGAAGTTAACAAAGCTACAGGGGGTATTTACAGAAACTCATTATATCGAGGTCCATTAGCTGCGAAACCTCCTTATAACGGATTAGGCCTATACTCGTTAGATCGAGGTCCGCTATATTGGGGGGTTATTACTGTTTCCTTATTACTGTCACGGTGAAAATCAAGCGGACTGTCGGTAATTAGTTGTCCGTTACCTTGGGTTGGGGGTGGGGGGGGGGATCTAATATGGGTTGGGTAGGTTAGGTTAGGGTTATGTTAAGGTGAGGTTGGGTTAGGTTATGTCTGAATCAATATGTATTAAGTGAAAATAATTAACTCGTATATCAGAACCTGTCATGATAAACAGAGTCAACTGTTATCTTGAGCCAAACCTCGACACAATCCCTAGTCTTGTGTGTAAAATGATTAGCACCTCGACACAATCCCTAGTCTTGTGTGTAAAATGATTAGCACCTCGACACAATCCCCAATCTTGTGTGTAAAATGATTAGCACCTCGACACAATCCCCAAAATTACGCAAAAAATAATGAGTTTCCTAATTCTGATTTGACTCCGTGGTCTTGGAAACAAATGAGCAATACTCCTCAGTGTTTCCTATGACTGGTAATAAACATTTACTATTTTGCCGATGCCCGCTGTCAATGGGTTGGTAGATCGTGCTTGCGGACAAATATGGTGCCTGCTGAGAGTCTTTTCCCCTCGGATACGTTCGCGCCAAAGCAATCAAGCACGGCAGTCATGGCCACACACTAAGGAAATTAAACTATGTGAGATAATTAAAATTAACTGTTTAATGTAACCTAACCTAATTTAACACATCCTAACTAACTCATCCCAAACTAACCGAACCCAATTTCATCTAAACCAACCTAAACTAAACTAATTTAATCTAAGCTAATCCAATTTAACCCAACTTCCTAACCCAATTTCATCTAACCTAACCTAATCCAACCTAAAGATCAAATAATTTTCTTAGGTTAGGTTTTTGTATTTGTTGACAATAACTGTGCAACAAGAACAATGTATTCTTCACCCTTTTAGCACAATAAATTAACTATCAATGGACAAGTTAACGAACGAGTGGCTTCGTTTGGACGCCATCCCGAACCCGTGTCCAACGAGCACATATCGTCAACCATAGTACGCGTATCGGTTTAGATTTGGTTAGGTTAGCTTTCGATATGTCGTTAGTCTCCCACGATCGCCATATACAGGTAACTTTTCCTCGAAGTCACGTAAGGACACAGAGACTCGTCCCTCACACGACCACACTCAGAGTCACTCACCGTCACTCAGAACCACTCAGTCACTCACCGTCACTCAGAACCACTCAGAGTCACTCACCCTGTTATCTGATTATCCATCTTCTCATTTACTCTCGCAATATGTAGAAAATATAAACAAAAATAAATTACCCTTAAAATTTCACACACTGCTCAAATCTTCCGTAAAAATAAAGTTATTTCGTAGAATAAATTTTCCACGTGACAGACACTTTAAAGTAATGATATGCAATTAAAAACGCACATATGGTTTTACATGTCAGTGCGGTACTCGAACAACGGCGATCAAATGAGTGTCTTGGCAGCCCAGTATGGTATGAAGACTTGCTATTCCACATCAGAATCGAATCAGAATCGACGATATGACTTTTTGCGATCATTACAACGTTCCGTACTGTACTATACTTACTCTAGGGTAAAGCTGATGGGGAACAAATGCAGTACAGGTATATATGAAAATCTTTATTATGGAATATCTTTCAAGAGATTGTATATGATTGCTTGTCTCACTAGTCCAACTTAACGAGATCTAACTATCCTCGCCGTCGTTACCATTCCCGGGCTATATTCCACACCCGAATGATTTAGCTGCGATTACCCGATGTTATGGTGTCCCAGCCGCCATCGAGGGATTTTTTTCAAACGCGTTTTATAGATACACGTCCTTCCTATCACCAACCCTTCCCTCATTTGTAATAATGTCTCAAATTCATTTCACCTAACCTAACTATGACTTGTACTAACCTAACCTAACCTATATCAACCTAACTTGACCTAAACTTATTTAACTTGAGCCAAACCAAACAGTAATTAAACCTAACCTTAATTTAACCCCATTAAACTTAAACTAACATAATATAACCCAGATTAAACGCACGCAAAATGATGGGACAGTTTTAACTTCAATATCATTTAACACACACACACACACACACACACACACACTTGGTACTTGTGAATATAATTATAAAGTTTCACTTCTAACCATTATTTTACCAGTCAATATAAAAATAAAGTAATTTTTTTTAATATAATGTTAAACTTTACATCCTCACATTAAGACAAAAATGTGATGTGAAAATTTTAAAATGAACACATTTCTCCACCAATGCTAAACACACCCTCAAAATTATGTAATAAACTTGTACTGTATTCCTGTATTTTGGTGAATCTATGTATTCTCTTGAGGTGGGGGTTCGTATTTCAGCAACGGCCTCTTTCCCAATGCTGTAACTACGCATGGCAATGGCTTGGTTGGCTGTCCTCGATCAAACTACCTTACTCTTTACTATTGTCGTTTAACCCGGTGGTAGCGTTTTAATCTGCCACGGTGCTAACAATAACAGCCGACATGCCATTTAGACTTGTATCACCTGAAAGAATCACCACCCCGGTTTATTTCACCTGAAGATTAAACCACCCTAAACCTAACCTATTCCCCTCAGTGTTAGGATGGTTTAATCTTCAGGTGATATAAGCTGGGGGTAGTGATTCTTCAGGTGATCTGGGGAGGAAGCAGGTTGGGGGGAGTGCTAATCTTCATGTCATCCAGTTATTCTTCCATACCTGTACAGTACTTCTTAACGGGTTTGACCTATCTGTACTAAAACAAAGGTAAGGTTAGGTCAGGTAGGGTCAGGTTACGATAAGTCTGGATAGATTACTCACACACTACAGCAACACCACAAAAAATCCATAAGAGATCCTACAGCATACACCGGACAGCTGAGTTATTGAATTTTCTACGGTAGCTTCTGCAGTTGAGTCCTTATTGACCCTGTTGGATGCTGTGTCATTCAAAACATTATCTAGATTTACAGTTTATTGATTAGATGGTGATATTTTTAGTCAGGTGTCACCATTATCTGTAGTAAGTGTGGTGGTGGTGCTGTTTTGTGGTGTGTGTGTGGTGGTGGTGGTGTGTGGGGTGGTGTGTGTGTGGTGGTGGTGGTGTGTGGGGTGGTGTGTGTGGTGGTGGTGGTAGTGAGTGTGGTGTAACTAATTTCGTGGTGAGTGAGGTGTAACTAATTTGGTGGTGAGTGAGTGTGGTGTAACTAACTTGATGGTGATAGTGTGTGTGTGTGTGTGTGTGTGTGTGTGTGTGTGTGTGTGTGTGTCACCATTTTTAAGTATTATTTGATGAGTCACTATTCTTTGTAGATTGTGAGTGTGGTGCTAATATTTTTTTTGGTGATAGTTGGTGTCACTATCCTTTCTATATAGTGAGATGAAGTCACTATCTTTGTATAGTGAGGTTAAGTCACTATCCTTGTAAATAGTGAGGATGAAGTCACTATCCTTTGTAAATAGTGAGGATGAAGTCACTATCCTTTGTATATAGTGAGGATGAAGTCACTATCCTTTGTAAATAGTGAGGATGAAGTCACTATCCTTTGTATATAGTGAAGATGAAGTCACTATCCTTTGTAAATAGTGAGGCTGGTCACTATCCTTTGTAAATAGTGAGGCTGAACTCACTATCCTTTGTATATAGTGAGGCTGAAGTCACTATCCTTTGTAAATAGTGAGGCTGAAGTCACTATCCTTTGTAAATAGTGAGGATGAAGTCACTATCCTTTGTAAATAGTGAGGCTGAAGTCACTATCCTTTGTAAATAGTGAGGCTGAAGTCACTATCCTTTGTAAATAGTGAGGATGAAGTCACTATCCTTTGTAAATAGTGAGGATGAAGTCACTATCCTTTGTAAATAGTGAGGATGAAGTCACTATCCTTTGTAAATAGTGAGGATGAAGTCACTATCCTTTGTATATAGAGGATGGTGATGTCACTATCCTCCAGAGATAGTGACATCAGTGCTGACGTCAAGAAAGACCAGAAAAAAATGGAAATTAGTAGAAAAAATCTTCCATTACCCTAAAAAAAAAATACAATTATGACAATGAAGTTCCTACATTAATTACGATTATTAAATGCATACATATATTTATTCCACTAATTACATTACGATTATTAATATATATTTACGAACATTTATTTGGTTGAGGTGAATTTTTTTTCATTTTTTTTATAAGGAATAGATACGGCAATTGTGTTAATATAGCTTCAATTGTAAGGGTAATTAGATGTTAATGAAGGTGTTAATTATGTGGTGGGTTATTAACGTGGTGGGTGTGGGTGGTGGTGGTAATGGATGGGGGAATCAACTCCAGATGTCCATTCACAATTACCTCCCCACCACATCCTATCACCACTTTTAGCCTCATTTATGGGTTATTTCTCCAACAAAAACACCAACAGACACACCAACCTCCTCCAACACGATGATTAATGCGAGGGGAAAAAAATAATAAATGATGGAGACGTTGGAGGAAAGTATTGGTGGAGTCCGCGCCTCTCCTCTCCACCAACCGCCGGCCACACTCCCTCATTCTCCCTCAATATACCACCTCCCTCATTCCTCCCTGAGATGTTTTATACACATACCTACCTGATGTCTCCTCCTAAGGGGTGTAAGAGAGGTGTTAGAGGGACATAGACTCACCTGACGGAGCTTGATCGGGTTTTTCTTGACCTGGCGTTCATGGTCTCCTCGGCTCTCCCTGCACGGGCCTGCCGAAATTCGCTGGGGACCGGAATTTTGATGGTACTTTTTTGACAACGATGCACAAACAACAAGGTTAAAGTATGGGCGATGATTCCTAAGTATTCCCGGGGGTTATCAAGTAGTTTCCCAGCCTATAAACAATGCATAACGGTAAAACACAAGGTACACAGTGTCCCCCGGGTTCTGAGTGCAATGGCACCTAACATGTAGGAAAATACGTTCCAATAATAGACTGGAGAATTTATTTTTTTATCTATATCGTTTAATTCTTATTTATTATGGGTGTTATTACGATTATATTTTATTATTTAAGTTGTTTTTTTATTAATTTGTTCAATCTATCGGTTTATATCGTAATTCTGAAAAATATTGAGAATATTTTGATGACTTTGCTTGCCGGTGTTAACATACAGGTTGTTGCCATTGTCAGTAAAAGAACCAATAATTTATATAATCTAATTAACTGTCCTTTAATTTATCACCTATAGGGGAATTAATATAACGATTTATATATTTAAAACCATGTACTACCCTGAAAGTACTGTTAGAGGCAGATAATGAACACAAGATGGTGGTAATACGGGGTAGGGATGCCACAGAGGCAGAGTTAAATGCTGTAACCGAGCGGGAATTTAAATATTTCGCAAGGTGTATTAATAATTACCTCTATAAACCACAAACAATTAATCTACCCCAACTTATCTATCCTATATATATTAACCTAGAGATATAAGAGTATTATTATTAAAAGATACAAGCTTATCTATCCCGGAGAGAACAACAGAGGTATTTTCTCAACCTTAAGGAAATGGTCACATACTTGTTATAATTAATGGCGTGACTCATATCTTACACGTCAGGCCGGGAGGTGCATTGGTGTCCGGGTTCTTTAACATAAAAAAAAAACCACCTAAAGCTTTTTGTAGTGGTTTAAAGGGACGTCACAATGTAAGCTTGGGTATAATTTTAGTTCGTGTGTGTGTGTGTGTGTGTGTGTGTTACGCAATAATCCTCAAAAGGTTAAATCATCATCCTCAAAGGGTTAAATCATCGTCCTCAAAGGGTTAAATCATCGTCCACAATGGGTTAAATCATCATCCTCAATGGGTTAAATCATCATCCTCAATGGGTTAAATCATCATCCCCAAAGGGGCTAAATCATCATCCCCAAAGGGGCTAAATCATCATCCTCAATGGGTTAAATCATCATCCTCAAAGAGTTAAATCATCATCCCCAAAGGGGCTAAATCATCATCCCCAAAGGGGCTAAATCATCATCCTCAAAGGGTTAAATCATCATCCTCAATGGGTTAAATCATCATCCTCAATGGGTTAAATCATCATCCTCAACGGGTTAAATCATCATCCTCAACGGGTTAAATCATCATCCTCAACGGGTTAAATCATCATCCTCAATGGGTTAAATCATCATCCTCAACGGGTTAAATCATCATCCTCAATGGGTTAAATCATCATCCTCAACGGGTTAAATCATCATCCTCAAAGGGTTAAATCATCGTCCTCAAAGGGTTAAATCATCGTCCTCAGCGGGTTAAATCATCGTCCTCAAAGGTTAAACCATCGTTGCTTCGAAGGGTTAAATCATCGTCCTCAAAGCGGTTAAATCATCGTCCTCAAAGGGTTAAACCATCGTTGTCAAAGGGTTAAATCATCGTCCTCAAAGGGTTAAAATTACTGTCTTTAAGGGTTACACACACACACAACACAAGCATCGAAAGAGAGAGAGAGAGAGAGAGAGAGAGAGAGAGAGAGAGAGAGAGAGAGAGAGAGTAGGAGAGAGAGAGGCTGAGATGTCAGCGGGAAGTCTCCTATTATAAGGGGCGGAAGTGACGTAAGCTTGATAGCAATAAGTGACATAAATAGGGAGAAAGAAATAAGCAAGGAGGGAATATGAAGAGATGAGGGCGTTAAATAAGTGTTAGGGAGAAGGGTGGGAGAGGAAGGATGGAGGGAAGGAGGGAGGGGAGGAAGGAGGAGGGAAGGAGGAAGGAGGGAGGAGGGAAGGGAGGGAGGGAGGGAAGAGGAGGGAGGGAGGGGAAGGAAGGAGGGAGGGAGGGGAGGGAAGGAGGAGGAGGGAGGGAAGGAAGGAGGGAGGGGAGGGAAGGAGGAGGGGAGGGAGGGAAGGAAGGAGGAGGGAGGGAGGAGGAGGGAGGGAGGGAGGGAGGGAGGGAAGGTGGCCCCACATCCCTTGTACAATTCAGTTCACTCACACACAATACAAATAATAATAACAATAATAATAATAATAATAATAAAAAAAAAAATAATAATAATAATAAAATAATACGAACGAACATTGCCACGACAACAACACCCTTCTCTCTCTTTCTCTCTCTCTCTCTCTCTCTCTCTCTCTCTCGTCCCTCCCTACACAGGTAAAAGCAGTGTCCTCACCTGTTCACACGGTCATTAACACGGTGAACTACTGCCCAGGGGTGTGTGTGTGTGTGTGTGTGTGTGTGTGTGTGTGTGTGTGTGCAAGTTTGTGTGTATGTATGTATGTATGTGTATGTATGTATGTATGTATGTATGTATGCCAGAGATAATAAAACTATATTAATGTTGTATGTATATGTATGTACTGTATGTATGTACGTATTAATATGGTATACATGTAGGTATGTATGAATGTACACGTATGTATGTATGTCAGATGGAGACGGAGGAGGGAGGGGAGGTGGGGACGGAGGAGGGAGGGGGAGGGAGATGGAGGGGAGGAGGGGAGGAGGAGAGACGGAGGGAGGGAGGGGAGAGAGACGGAGGGAGGGAGGGGAGGGGAGGAGACGGAGGGAGGGGAGGGGGAGTGTGACGGAGGGAGGGGAGGGAGGGGGAGAGATGGAGGGGAGAGGGGGGAGGGAGGGGAGGAGGGAGGGAGGGAGGGAGGGAGGGGAGGGGAGGAGGGAGGGAGGGAGGGAGGGAGGGAGGGGGGAGGGAGGGAGGGAGGGAGGGAGGGAGGGAGGGAGGGGGAGGGAGGGGAAAGAATGGGAGTGAAGGAGTGAGGGGGAGGGTAGGGGTAGGGAGATAGGGAGGGAGGGGAGGGAGGGAGGGAGGGAGGAGGGAGAGGGGAGAGAGGGAGGAGGGAGGGGAGGGAGAGAGGGAGAGGGAGGGAGGGAGGGGAGGGAGGGAGGGAGAGGGAGGGAGAGGGAGGGGAGGAGGGAGGGAGGGAGAGGGGAGGGAGGGAGGGAGGAGAGAGGAGGGAGGGAGGGAGAGAGGGAGGGAGGGAGGTGAAAAGAATGTGGGAGTGAAGGGTGAGGGGAGGGGAGGTGGGGGAGAGGGGAGGAGGGGAGGGAGGGAGGAGGGAGGGAGAGAGGGAGAGAGGAGGGAGGAGGAGGAGAGAGGGAGAGAGGGAGGAGGGGAGGAGGGAGAGGAGGGAGGGGAGGAGGGAGGAGGGGAGGAGGGAGGAGAGGGAGGGAGGGAGGAGGGAGAGAGGGAGGAGGGGAGGGAGAGAGGGAGGGAGGGAGGTGAAAAGAATGTGGGAAGGAAGGAAAGTGAGGGGGAGTGTAGGTAGGGAGATAGGGAGGAGGAGGGAGGAGCGAGGGAGGAGGGAGGGAGGAGGGAGGAGGAAGAGACTGGCTCTCACCACATACCAGGGCACCCAGCAAGCCTGTTAAGCCACCCTCCCTATCTCCCTATCCCCCCACCCACCCTGCACCCTCCACCCCCCATCCCATGACCTGGTGTGCACATTGTAGGAATCTCCGCAATTTTGATGGAGCCTCAGAGATGAATGGATAGATGGATAGATGGATAGATGGATAGAACCGTCAGACAAGTTAACAATATACCAAGGCAGTGTTAAGTGAAGGTATCTAGTTAAGGTAGAGTCTCAGTGTTAAGTGAAGGTATCTAGTTAAGGTAGAGTCTCAGTGTTAAGTGAAGGTATCTAGTTAAGGTAGAGTCTCAGTGTTAAGTGAAGGTATCTAGTTAAGGTAGAGTCTCAGTGTTAAGTGAAGGCTAGTTAAGGTAGAGTCTCAGTGTTAAGTGAAGGTATCTAGTTAAGGTAGAGTCTCAGTGTTAAGTGAAGGTATCTAGTTAAGGTAGAGTCTCAGTGTTAAGTGAAGGTATCTAGTTAAGGTAGAGTCTCAGTGTTAAGTGAAGGTATCTAGTTAAGGTAGAGTCTCAGTGTTAAGTGAAGGTATCTAGTTAAGGTAGAGTCTCAGTGTTAAGTGAAGGCATGTAGTTAAGGTAGAGTCTCAGTGTTAAGTGAAGGTATCTAGTTAAGGTAGAGTCTCAGTGTTAAGTGAAGGTATCTAGTTAAGGTAGAGTCTCAGTGTTAAGTGAAGGTATCTAGTTAAGGTAGAGTCTCAGTGTTAAGTGAAGGTATCTAGTTAAGGTAGAGTCTCAGTGTTAAGTGAAGGTATCTAGTTAAGGTAGAGTCTCAGTGTTAAGTGAAGGTATCTAGTTAAGGTAGAGTCTCAGTGATAAGTGAAGGTATCTAGTTAAGGTAGAGTCTCAGTGTTAAGTGAAGGTATCTAGTTAAGGTAGAGTCTCAGTGTTAAGTGAAGGTATCTAGTTAAGGTAGAGTCTCAGTGTTAAGTGAAGGTATCTAGTTAAGGTAGTCTCAGTGTTAAGTGAAGGACTAGTTAAGGTAGAGTCTCAGTGTTAAGTGAAGGTATCTAGTTAAGGTAGAGTCTCAGTGTAATTTTGTCTCCTAACATAACCTAACTTAACCTTTAAGCTGACAAGAAATGAGATGGGTGAGTGAGTAACGAGTGAGTGAGTGAGTGAGTGAGTGAGTGAGTGAGTAACGAGTGAGTGAGTGAGTAACGAACGAGTGAGTGAGTGAGTAACGAACGAGTGAGTGAGTGAGTAACGAGTGAGTGAGTGAGTGAGTAACGAGTGAGTGAGTGAGTAACGAACGAGTGAGTGAGTGAGTAACGAGTGAGTGAGTGAGTGAGTAACGAGTGAGTCATCCTTGAGAGTCGACCTTCAAGTGAGAGAAAGTAAGAAGATTTTACCTCACTTGTTGACATTCCTCTCACAACAACAACAACAACAACAATAATATTAATAATAATAATAATAATAATAATAATAAGAATAACAACAGCTACTTCAACACTAACAACAACAATACTACTACAACTACTACAAAAACAGCAACTACTATTGCTACTACAACTACTACTAATAATAATACAGAATCAATAAAAAAATAGATATAATTGACTTATATTTTCAGAACTTTTAATCAATATTAACAC